TGCCCTCCCCAGGCTCCTATAAAGCCTCTGGAGCCTGGGGAGGGCAAAAAATGGCTTAAAAAAAGGCTGAACTCAGCTTGCCAGCGCGTACATGCATGCTGGCCACCTGACAGGGCAACGCCTCATGTGCCCTGACAAATGGCTCCATGTGCCACCTGTGGCATGAGTGCCATAGGTTCACCATCCCGGTCCTAGGTTGTTTTTTTAAAGATGAAACTTAGTTTTAAATCCAATAGGTCAATTCTTATGTTGACATAGAAAAACTACATAAATAAACATTTTGGGGAATAGCTACTTTTTTTAAAAAAAAACAACTTTGCCACTGAAATAAAAATAAACACTTTTAATGTAACTATTCTCTCTACAAAATCGCTACATAAATGAAGCAGAACATTCCTGGATTTCAAGGATAAATCACCTTCTCCCAAACAATGAGCATCAGCATTCTGAACATTACCTGGATCCCCAAACAGTTTGGAGTCCATGTTGCGCTTCTGCTGCAGGAGTTTTTCCCTTTCCTTCTTCAGCTTCTTCTCCATGTCTCGTTTTCTTTCTTCTTCCTGCTCTCCTTCCAGCATGACTCGGAGAGCTCGTTCTTCAGCTTCGTAGAGTTCTGTGCGTTTTTTAATCGATGCTTTTAAATTCTCAACTTCGCTTTCAAAGGCTTCATCTGCAGCTGGCGGCGGACAAACACCTGCACCGAATACACACAAGGATTTATTGCTACTTTCTTTTTCTTCTTTTTGTTTCAGAAGAATCCCACAGCTCCTTTAGTTAGTAGTTCTTAATTTCCCAAGCTAAAATCCATCAAATGTTCGGTCAAAGAATCTATGCCTCAACATGAAAGGGGGAAAAAAAACCTCAAATTCTTTCTCAGAAGGACATTTATATAGTTTATAAGAGCTGTGGTGGCACAGAAGTTAGAATGCAGTACTCAGGCTAACTCTCCTGACTGCCAGCAGTTCGATCCTGATCAGCTCAAGGTTGACTCAGCCTTCCCTCCTTCCGAGGTAAAATGTGGACTCAATTGTTGAGGGCAATTTGCAGACTCTATAAACTGCTTAGAGAGGACTGTAAAGTGGGACATAAGTCTAAATGCTATTGCGGGTCCTTTTTCTCATTTACACTAGGTTTTATTTCAATAATATAGTTTCCCATCTAGATTTCTGGATTTGATTTAAATCAATGCCTTGGGGTAGGGGGAAGAATATGATCTCTGGGATTTTTTCTCCTCCTCTACTCCATTCCTCAATTATTTGCAGCTATCTTTGAATTACGACTACTTGTTTAACAGTGGTTTGCAGTTACAACGACAATGAAAAATTTAGTTTATAACCCATCCTCAAAGTTGCAACTGTAACACCACCCCAGTGGTGATGTGCTTACAATTTGATTGTAAATGTCACCTGGCAACCAGGTGACATTTACAATGATTGCAGCATCTTGCAGTCACATGAATGCAATGTGGAACATACTCAACAAGCATAGTCAGTGTAGGAAACCAGATTCATTTAACAACTGCAGTAAAAAAATGGTAATAAAATTAAGTCTGGTCACATGACGACTGGCTTATTGACTATACTGATTAGCAACCAAAGTTCCCGTCCTAATTGTGGCTGTTAAGTCAAGGACTACTTGCATGTCTCTTATCGTCTATGCTACAAGATTGGATTGGTTCACTATGCTAGTCTTCTAAGTTTATAGTGAACATTAATATCTAAAGCAGATTTTAACAAGAAAATCAGAAAAAGCAGTGTGAGATCCACTGGCAGAAATGTTAGGACTTTTGCACCAAGTTTCCCAACCATACAGAGTACTGTACACCAAAAGGAGTAAACACAAAGTAAAACACGCAGAGTCATAATTAGGAATGATTTTAAAAATCCAGAATGTACCTTTCCTTCCTGCTGCTTCTTTTCTTAGTTTCCTAAGCTTTTCTAAGCCACGCAGAATTTCTGCCATCCGCTTTGTGTCTGCTTGCTTTTTTCTCACTTCTGATAACACACTATCGGCAGCAGCTTTAAGTTCTTTTTCCTAAATTAAAAGAGTATCAGTTAGAAAACGGAACAAGAAGGCACACAACCACCTTCCAAACAGTAGGTAGAAGTGGGTTTGTTAGGTGCAAGGAAAGAGAGATCTTTGTCGAAAACTTTTTTGCTCAGCAACACCGTGTGAGAGGCACCCCTTGGGAAGTTCAAGATAATATACGGGCAAAAAAATGAACAAATGGCATCTCTGAGACATTCTGCCTTTATCCCCAAAGTACAGTCCAATAATACAGAAATAATCCCCCCACAGTTTTTTAGTTTCTTTCTGCTATCAGTCATGCTTACAAGATAACTTGTAAAATAAGTAAATACATGCAGTCCTTGACTTACAACCACATTTGAGCCCAAAATTTCTTTGCTAAGAAAGATAGTTGTCAAATGAGTTTTACCCCATTTTACGACCTTTCTTGTCTGAGTTGCTAAGTGAATCACTACAGTTATTAAGTTAGTAACAAGGCTGATAACTGAATCTGGCTTCCCTGTTGATTTTGCTCAGCAAAAGGTTGCAAAAGGCGATCATATGACCTCAGGACACTACGACCGTCATAAATACATGCCACTTGCCAAACCTCTGAATTCTGATTGTGTGACCATGGGGATGCTGCAACCATCCTAAGTATGTCCCAAAGGTGCTTTTTCAAGAGGCAACTGGACTTTCTTGTTTTTCTTTGAAGATGTTTCACTTCTCATCCAAGAAGCCTCTTTAGCCCTGTTCTAAGTATGAAAAACGGTCATGTCACTCTTCTCAGTGCTGCCGTAACTTCGAATGGTAATTAAATGAATAAATCAAGGACTACCTGTACACAGCAAACCTTTTTTTTTACTCCTATTGCCATGGCAAAACTATAGAAGTTTGTATTAGCAATGTCATCATAAGTTTGTATTAGGAATGTCATCATAATGTCATCATAAGTGGCATTGTAAAATTATAAATATTTCCTGGTGAGTGTATATGTGAGTGGGTGTCTGTATGTCCTGTTCCTCACTGTCAGTGAAATCCATTACCCCGTAAACTGGCATTGAGGAAGAATAGGGCTAAGAATAGAATAGACCAGTGATGGCTAACCTTTTTTGGCTCGGGTGCCGAAAGCACGAACGTGCGATATAGCCTCCCTTCCGCCCTGCCCCGTGAATGTGCACATGACACCCCCCCCCGTTGCCCCTCACATGCGTGCACGACACACACGCACCCTCCTGAAGCCTGGGGAGAGTGAAAACGGCCTCCCCCGGCAGCTGGAAACAGCCTGTTTCTGAACTTCCGCTAGGCCCATTTTCCCCGTTCCCCAGGCTTCGGAAGCTTTACTGAAGCATGGGGAGGGTGAAAACTGTCTCCCCTGGCCCTCCGCAGGCACTTCAAAGGCTGAAAATCAGCTGGCCAGTGTGTGCCTGCACGCTGCAGCTAACCTAGGGCAACAGCTTGTATGCCCTCAGAGATGGCTCCGCATGCCACCTCTGGCACGTGTGCCATAGGTTCACCATCAAGGGAATACACTATTCTTTATTGGCCAAAATATGACTGGACGCACAAGGAATTTGTCCCCAGTGCATATGCTCTCAGTCTAGCTACAAACAACAAAGTGGTAAGTCATAGCTCATAAATCCTACTTACAATAATAAACCTTAAAATACCTAAATCATAAGATGCCAACAAGAGAAATAGTAGAACAGATGAGAAGGATAATAACAATAACAGTCCTTACTACATAGTATAATATCTTTAGGCATAAGACAGGGTTGTGGGAGTTCAGCAAAGTGATGGTGGCAGAATATGCTGCCTCTACAGGCAGTCCTCGACTTATGACCACAATTGAGCCCAGAATTTCTGAGGCTAAGAGAAGCATTTGTAAAGGGAGTTTTGTCCCATTTTACAACTTGCTTTGCCACATTTGTTAAGTGAATCACCGCAGTTGTTAAATTAGTCATACAATTGTTCAGTGAATCTGATTTCCCCACTGACCTTGCTTGTCAGAAGGTCACAAAAGGGAATCATGCAACCCCAGGATGCTGCAACAGTCATAAATGTGAGTCAGCTGTCAATCGTCTGAATGTCAATCAGGTGACCATGGAGATGCTGCAACTGTCGTAAGTGTGACAAATGGCCACAAGTGACTTTACCCAGCACCGTTGTAACCTCGAATGGACACTAAGTGAATCGCTGTACGGCGAGGACTGCATGACTCGGTGGCTCAGTGACTAAGGCACTGAGCTTGTCCATCAGAAAGGTCGGCAGTTCAACGGTTCGAATCCCTGGTATAGGTCTCCTGCGTGAGCAGGGGTTTGGACTAGATGACCTCCAAGGTCCCTTCCAACTCTGTTAATTAAACCTGTATTTTCTCTGCATTTCCACACCGGGACCATCCACCCAGCAAAAGGAGCAGAGCAGTAACAATAACAGAGTTTTGAAGGGACCTTGGAGGTCATCTAGTCCAATCCTCCCTGCTCACGCAGGAGGCCTGTACTAGGGATTCGGACCATCGGAAAGCCTCTGCTTCCCAAAGCCCGGCCAGCCGCTTCTCTTCTCTCAATGACCCGAGGAGGCCTCCCACCCCCATGGACCCCAAGACCCACCCGGTGCCGGTCCTCCTCCTCCTGGGCTCGCCGGGCCCTCCAGAGATCGATGCGGGCCTTGCGCTCCGCGCGCCGGGCTTCCTCCTCCTGCCGGGCGTCGCGGGCCTCTTGCCTCCGCTGCTGCCGCCGCTTCCTCTTCTGACGACCCCGCTCCAGCCCGGCCCGCAGCCGCTCCAAAGCGCCGGGATCGCGTAGCGGCCCCACCAGAGCGCGGAGCTCCTCCAAGCCGGCCTCGGCTTCGGCCGTCTCGCCCGGAGTTGCTTCATCGCCCCGCCGCCGCCAAGCAGCGCAGAGCCCGGCCACGCGCGCCACCGCCCGTAGCGCCTCGCCCGCCGCCTGCGCTGCGTCGTCCGCCGTCAGGCCCCGCTCCCGACGGGGAGGCGCGGCGATCGGCCGTCGGCGCCTGACGAAGCGGCTGAGCCAGGCTTCGTCGCCGTCGCAGGCCTCGTCGCCCGGCACGTCTGAGGCCTCGGGGGTAGGCCGCGGCGGGGTCACCGGTCTCCATGACAACGGCGGCCTCTCCGGCAGGGTCGGCGGCCACTGAGGTGGAGGATGAAGCGGCGGCGGCGGTGGCAGGAAAGGCGGGAGGCCTCCGCCTGGAAACGGTGGATAGAGGCCCCGCGGGAAAGGCTGAGGCGGCGGTCCCCGGAAAGGCCCCGGGGGAGGCAGCGCGGGCGGAGGAAAGCCGGCGGGCTGCGGCGGCCCCGCGAAACGCGAGGCGAAGTGAGGAGGCGGCGGCTGCGGCGGCTGAGACATCATCAGAGTAGGCCGCGCGGCCTCGTCTACACAACGGCCTCTATTCCTGCGCTGTGGGAAGAGCGGCGCCCCCTGCAGGCTCGGGGGAGCGTCGGCAGGAGGAGCTTCTCTGTCCCCGGAGCGACTGTTGCGCCAGAACGGAGCAAGCTTCTCGGATGGAAGAAGTGATAAGTCTTCAAGGCAAAAGGAAGTCAGCACCTCTGCATTTTTTTGGAGGAGGTCGTAAATGGGGCAAAGAAAGACCCTTGATGGAAGCCTCCTGGCTCCAGAGTCTGTACAGGTAGTCCTTGACTTACGACCACAGATGAGCCCAATGTTTCTGTTGTTAAGTGAGACATTTGTTGAGTAAGTTTCCCCCACCACATTTTATGGCCTTTCTTGCCGCAGTTTGTTAAGTGAATCACTGCAGTTGATAAATTAGTAACACGGTTGTTAAGTGAATCTGGCTTTCCCATTGACTTGGCTTTTCAGATCATAAAAGCTAATTACATGACCTTGGGACACAGTAATGGTCATAAATATGAATAGCAATAGCAATAGCAGTTAGACTTATATATCGCTTCATAGGGCTTTCAGCCCTCTCTAAGCG